CCAGGCCCGACGAGGAACATGATGTGGACGACGTTCATGCTATTCCGGATCCCCGTGCCGGCGCTCAGGCAATGCCTTCGCTTGATCGACAGGACACAGTCTCGACCCTTGAAGTCGCGACCCGGGTCTGCGAGATGTTCCGCCTGTACCCGTGGACGGAGCCGGCAGTGACGAGCAGCTTTCTCGACGAGGTTGGGAACGCCACCCGGTACAACTCCGACGGCTCGCCGATCCCAGATCTCGACGGGATGTTTATGGATTGTACGACGACGTGCAATGGCCTGGCTCATGCGAATAATTGCAGGTGGAATTTCCCCAACGCCTACTTCCCGTGCTGCCGCTGCTGGAGGAAGCGGGACTGGAATGCAGAAATGAACATGCTCTGGGGCCATGCGAAATCCGCGGTGATGTATGCTGTCTGGCGCCTGCCATCTCTCGAAGCGGCAAAGGAGCGGTTGGTTCCGAGATTCTTCGGCTTCGAGTACACCAGATCTGTCGGCTGGTTTCCCACTGAAGAAAAGAGGAGGGCCGTGGCGAACACCGAGATGCTCGATTGGTGGGTGCAATACCTATGGTGGAAGATCAATGATGAAAGTGTGGTGTTTTGCTATGATGCGGCAATGAGCCCGCCTGGGCATTCGTGGGGCTTAGGCTGGGGAAGCCAGACGAACAACACGATCGCGTTTTCCGAGGACGGGTGGATACATAGCACCGATCCAGAAAGAGTCAGGACAATGCTGCACGAGTACTACCATACCTTAGGGCCGCGGCACGGCGAAATTGTTACTCTGTGGGGTGTAAACCATTCGGGGCCACTGTTGAACGCCTACAAGATGGACTGTTACCTCACTGGCCTGTTGGAGGAGTTGAGGATCATTGATATTGATCATGGACGCTGCAAACGCCTGGCAAATGATGGACTGTACCGCTGAGGCTGCGTGCGAACTCACATGTCAGGCCAGCGACTGCCTGCAAGCACGGACGGACGCGAGGAGGCGGAGAGGGGGTGGGGTGGTAGGAGGATGCCTGCAAGCACGGACGGACGCTCCCATCGCGCCGGGGCGCGGTCCCACTGGGAACGGAGCGCGTGCGCCGCGGCGAGTCGGGCCCTCCCCCAAAAAAGAGGCCTACCAGACCCCGCCCCACCCCCATGAGGCTTTCAAGAGGCCCCCAAAGGCTCCCAAGACGCCCTTGAGATGGCTCAAGAAGCCTTTTGAGAGGCTCCCGAACAAGCTTCCAAGAGGCTCCCGGGGGCGCCTCTGCGTGTGTACGCGTCTGAGCGTGAGTGAGTCTGAGTGTGCTCGAGACCCTCGCAACTTGCTCTGACAGCAAAGAAGCCGCGGCGGTCAACACAGGTAAACCGTTTGAGACATCCCCCAACAAGAAACCGGAGTATGAGTGCATCAGAGTGTGCATGGGCTGTGGGTGAGCGCATGCGAGTGTGAGTGGGTCTGACTGTTAGTGGGTCTGAGTGTCAGTGTGCTTGAGTGTAAGTGAGGCTGAGTGAGAGAGTACATGAGTGTGAGTGGCCGATGTGTGAGCGGGCCTGAGTGTGCGTGAGTCCGAGTGTGGGTACGTCTGAGGGTGAGTGAGTCTGCCTTTGTGCGAGTCTGAGTATCGGTGGATCCGAGCGCGCGAGGGAGGCGGGTGAGTGAGTGCGTGGGGCGGATGCGCCCTAGAAGTAACAAAGAGTCCTATCAGAGGATACGGGGAGCAGTCGCGACGCCGGAGTCTTGGGGGGGGGGGCCCTCGCAGGAAGTGTCCAGCAGAGGGCCGTGGGGCTCAGCCGCATTTGGGGGTGCATGGCCCTCTCGAGGCTCCTTCGGGCCCTCTGAAAGTCCCTTGGGGCTTTCCCGTGCCACCTCCTCGGGCTGCCCTGGGGCTTCTTGGGGTCCCCTCCTGCTTTCTGTCTGAGGCCCTCGCCGAACCCGCTTGGGGATGCTCTTGGGTCCCATATGGGGGCCATCTTCGGGTGTATTCGCATTTGCTGTGGAACTCTTGGGCCACCTTGGAGCGCTCTGGGGCCCCTCTTGAATCCACCTTGGGCCGCCACTCGGCACCCTGCTGGAGCCCTCCTGGGGCCGTGGGACGTTTCTAGGGCCTGTTTCGACGCTCCTGCTGGGGCCTCGTCGGCTCCTCTCGGAGCACCTCCCGGGGCCACTTTGGTGCCACTCTTAGGGCGCGTCCTTCCTCCGAGGTCTTCTTCAGGCATTTCCTGGGGCCCTGTCGGGCCTTCGCTTTGGGCCCTTCTCGGCCATTCTGGGGTCACTTCCTCGGGCTCTCTTGAGCTCTTGAGGCCACTTTGGGGCCATCTTCGAGCCCTCAGGGGAGAGGAGGGATGAGGGGGGTGGGAAGGGAGGAGAGGGGGAAGGAGGGAGGGAGTGAGGGAGGGGGTGGGCCCGCTTCGCCTCGAATTTATGGACAAGAGCGCACCCGGGCACAGGTCCAGGGGCCCCCGAGCCCACACATCTGGCGTCGCGAGGGTGTCCGAAGAAGAGAA